GGCTGGTCTCGAACTCCTGAGCTCAAACAATCCACCCGCCTCGGCCTCCCAGAGTGCTAGGATTACAGGCGTGAGCCACCGCGCCCGGCCCAGCTATACTGTTTTTGCCTTTTCCCTCCCAGTCTCTGTTCACATGCAGACATAATCTTATATAACTGCAAGCATGTCTATGTAGTTTTTATATCTCCTTTCTTATAATAACATGGATCATTTCTTGTGCTATAAAGTTTGCATTGTAACTTTTATTAGCTGCATAATATTTCAGGCCCCTCTAGACTAGAAATTCAATAATGTGGAAGTAGAATTATCCTAGACTTGTTGAAAAATAAATTTTAGGATGGCTATAGACCATTGCACCAAGTTTCAAGAATTGATGGATAAGGTAAGTTTAGATAGAATCACTATAGAACACCTTTTTTCCCCCTGAGGGATGGGAGTCACTTTTTGCTTCGACTGAGTGGAGTAATAAAGATGTGTTGAGTCAAACTTTGATGAGTTCAGGGAGCGAATAAAAGTTTCGGTTATATGCAGACATAGTCTCTCTGTGCAGCAAGATGCCGGAGGTGCTGTTGCAGGTGAGTGAGAGAAGTGAAAACCAAGCTGGATCATGGTCGGAGGCCTGAATTACCAACGCGGGAGCCCTGGCCTCATAAGCATGCACTTTGCATCACGCCAACTTCCATGTTAAAACAATCCTGACCCATTTGACCCACCACCAGCATCCTCAGGCCCACGGGACATACTCCAGTGCAGTAAATTAGGACTGTAAGGGAATCTGCTGGGTCACCGGCAGAGGAGGAAGGCGCCTTACGCCAGCAGGAGCAGAGTGGAGGAGATGGGCAAGTCATGGGCCAGGCGACAGCCCGACGAGTGCATTCGTACGTGGTCCCTCCACGCAGTCTGGATGGTTCTCAATTCCATACTTGGAATTTGATCAACTAAATATTCAGTTAGGTCTAAAAGCATACTTTAAAAAATATATCAGCATGTCTCTGAAGATTATGGAGCTATAGTTGTTTCAAATAAGTAGAACTTTGCTTTCCTCTTAAAACTTACCTGACATGAGCAGCACTAAGAAAATGGGTGTTTTATTTGAGTGAGGAGAGAGGATAGGTAATTCCAGGTAACAAAGCATTGTGAAATAGGCCAGGCAGTCCCTGAACAATGTACTTGTTGCCAGGAGTTAAGAAAGGGAGGTGGGAAGATACAGAAAATAATTTTTTCCCTACTGCAAAATGTGTTTAGGAATTGGTGTTTCACTCAAGAAAAGAGAAGACTCTTCCGCTCTCCCCTGGTCTGCATGGTTCCTCACTTCCAGGACCCAAAGCGTGTGTTGTTACGGTTGGCACCGTACAGTTCAGTTTATACAGGCTGCTCTGTGAATCAAGCCACCTGCAAAGCACTGTTTAGATCATAAAATGTAATGTAGCCTCCAAATAGTTGTCTTAACAAGTACACAGTTGAGACCTGACATACAGAATTTGGGGACTCTGTTTTGTAAACTGTTAGTTTCTGGAGTTGAAATGTATTTGGTGGAGAATTTGGTTATCTGTAGCAGTTGTTTCCATATATCGGGGGTTAACCCAGCTGCGCCGTTCACAGGGTGCCATACCTGTCCCACTTTGGCATTCTCACAGACGAAAGCTTCGTAGAATCTGGGGAACTCTGGGGCATTGTCATTCACATCTAAGACTTTGATTGTGACAGAAACACTTCCAACCTGGGAGGGGTTGTCTAAAGAGAACACAAGGAAAACCAAAACACAGAAGTTGAGTAATGCAGAAAAAGAATGCTGTTTCCTGGAACTCAGTATTTACCTGGTCAGTCTGGCTTTTAGAGGAATGGATAAAGTACATGGAAACGGTAACACAAGTGTAGGGTGCATATGTCGCCTACTCAGAGTGTGGCCAGACATAAGAGGCATGGACAGAACGAGGTGTGTGTTGGAGAGTGTGTTTGCTGTTAGGAGTATGAGGGGAGAAAATGTCACAAAAGGAATCTTAAAAAGAGGTTTCGAATCTCCCACTTGGCTCATACCTCTGTTTCTGGAATGAAAGGCAGGTCAACTCTATATTCTAGGCTTTGAAACAGCCCATTTCTGATTGGATGCATACTACGTGGCACTGCTTGGCTTTATTCCTGTGGAATAATCAGCTCTTTGAATTATATTTCCAAAGGTTTCAAGTTACTCACTGGAATACAGATAACACTGCACATTCATTCCTGCTTAGGGTCTAAGGGGATATTACGGGATCAGACACACACCAAATCCATATCTTTGGCTGGAGCAGAAGTTCTCATAGTCACTCATGAGGAAATATATTTTTTGGTCTGTGTCTTTTTCTGTTTTTTTCACCACCGCAAGGAGATGAAATAGAAATAACAAGACACAGAGATTATTCTTGGTGAATAATTTCACTAAATCCCAGAAGGCATTGTTCTTCTGGTTCGTTTTTTTTTTCTTTCTTTCTCAAAAATAACTATGCTCTACGATTTTCCTCCTAAATACTTCTATTGCTTGGTTACCAGAAAGTGCCAGCATAATTAAAATTTATTTTGTCATTATAACAGTGATATTTGTATATAGAAAGAATAATGAAAATTTCATGAAAACCATAGAGGAGAAGAGAAATATGATCTACAATCCTACCACCAGAGGTATCTGTTATATATGTAACATTATACAGTATATGTGTTCAAAAATGTAGAGCTAAACACACACACACACACACACACACACACACACACACTACAGTTAAGCAAATAAGACTTGGATTCAGAACTTTAATATTTTAGGACGAGATTATCCTGTGTCACTGCATCTACTTTGAAAGCATAGGTGTCAAGGTCTATATGATATTCTCATTTTACTGTAGGTTGTTTTTTTTTTTATTTAGTCAATTTCCTATTACTGGACATTTAAGTAATTGCCATTTTCCCCCCTATTTTAAAATAACATTGCAGTGGACATTTTCATATATAAATCTTTGTTGATGTCTATAATTATTCCCTTAAGATAAATTACTAGCAGTAGAATTCCTGAGAAAAAGAGTATGAATATTTTGGGAAATCTTAATATATATTGCCAAATTGCACTCCTGAATTGCTGTGACTAGATATTGCCAATAGGTTCGGGATTACCATTTTTCTGAACCTTTACCATCACCAGGTAGTACAAAAAGCAATTGGCTGGGCGCGGTGGCTCATGCCTGTAATCCTAGCTCTCTGGGAGGCCAAGGCGGGCGGGCGGATTGTTTGAGCTCAGGAGTT